CCCCCCCGCCCCTGCTGCCGACGCTGCGCTTCCCCTGGCGGCGGCTGCCAGGCGAGAGCTGAGGGACGCAGCTGCCTCTCGTCCTTGTGCATCAGTCGGGCTTGGCTTTGGGGCTCTTGGGTTGCAGAGGATCACCGCTCTTTTTCTCAGTTTAAACATCTCGAGTGAAGCCGATCTGGCTCTTTTACTGAGTAGCCCTTTCTCTGAAATTACTTATTAACGTTAAAGCAAACATACGTGAGCAGCAGGCAGGGCAAGAGACCAAAATGCATCCAAAATAGCCAGCAGAGAGCAAAGAGATGATAGCCGTGAAGGTCATTTCGCGGGCCCCACTGTCCCCGCAAAGGCTGGCCGACCCTGCCTTGAGTTCCCCTTGAGTGCCTCTGGCCATTGATCTGAAACCGGCGGCCACTCTTGGGAGCGGCTGTGAGAGGGAGGTGCTGGGGCAGGGTCCAGGGGGCCAGGCGGGTGAAAGCTGCCGATCCCCCCAGAGAGAGATGTCCCGCCGTCAGGATGAGGCAAGGCGGCGAGGCCACTCTGCCAGCCCCAGCCCAGCTCGATTCAGCCATGAAGTCCCCCTGAGCACAAGAAGCGGCTCCATCTCTGCAGCCCGGGCTGCTCCCTACGGCATCTAACCCCTCCGGCGGCCAAAGGGGAAGCCAAGACCTGCCTTTGCCTTGCAGGTATTTCAGCATTTGCTTTCTGAGCTTTTCCTCCTCCATCTAGCCCCTCTTCTTTCCTCCTAACCCTCCTCTTTTCGGCTCCACAAACCATCTTTCATCCCGCAGTTCGCAACTGCAGCCCAGGGGTGACTTTCTAAAGCCACTGGAGGCTGTGACTAGCAAAGGCACCGAGATGCCCTCAAAAGGCAGGCCCTCCGTTGCCCTCCCAAGCCACGTGCATGCTTGGGATGACTTTCAGGTACCATTAATGTAGCTGCCAAAATAGGAACGGTGAGATCTTACCATGCATCTTGCCACATCTTTACTTGATGTGCAGCCCAGATGGGAAAGGGTCTATATACATATTGATAAGGTCAGCACAGCAAAATGGCGTATATCTGCCCGTCCAGAGAAAAAATGCATCCCTCCTTAATTTTTCCCCTGATGAATACAGGGTCCCTGTGTGAAGCTGCAGCAGATCGGGTAGGCACCGTCCCTGGGTACTCAAGAACCGCGAGCAGGAACAGGACGGATGCTCAATTTAGATGAGGCAAGCCCTGATGTACTACAAGGCAGCTTTGGCAGCCATGTTTGTAAAACGCTGGGGAGGATAAAGAAAAAGTCTGCAAATTGATTTGAGGCCAACGTGCACCAGGGGCTTAAGAGGACTGTTCAGTTTAGAGCGGAGAACATTAAGTAGTAATCTGAGCTTGACGAACGGCTGGTGAAGGTTGAGTAGGATACACCACCTGAAAGTTGAAAAATTGAACCAGAAACGAAACTCCCATTTTCAACAGTGTGGCGGTCCATGGAAGGGGAAGGCAAGTCTCTCTTCTGGGTGTCCTTAAATTGAAAGGATCCCTCTTTCCCCAAGAAATCCCACTCACTCAGCCCTGAGCTAGTGGATCAGGCTGCATCGGCAGCCGGTGTCAGGCAGTGAGCCAGTCAGCCTGGATTAACAGAGCAGACCCCTCCGGTCTCAGCACATACAGATGTAAGCAGACGTCCCTAGTTAGCCAGAGACCGGCAGTTTCTTATTTTTCAGGCTTTTTTTAGAATAAACCTCCCCTATCTGGAGGGCACGTGGAGAAGGTAATAGCAAGTGGCAGCTGGTGGAGGGCTGCTCCCCAGTGCATTCCCAGCCCTTGGGGGTATACGGTCACCAGTGACAGGCCCTCATGTTGGTCATTTTTCCCTATACGTGGGTTTTTAAAAGATCTATGAGTTCCCCAGGCTCCAAGGCATGTTGAGCTTTCCGTAGCTCCTTTTTTTTTTGCCCCTTTCTGGGAAAAATCCAGGGAGACAAATGCTTCTTAGTTAAAATTAAAACTAAAATGCCTCGGAGAATTGCACAGCCAGAAGTATTATCGAGTCAAAGGTTCAAGATGGTTTTACATCCGACCTTTAAGTGGGGCAAAACCAATCTACCCATGCCGAAACAGCAACTCGTGTGGAATAGTAAAGTTCGTAACATTAAAAAAACCCGAAAAAAGATTGGCCTCTTTTCTCAGAGAAAGAAAGAAAGAAAGTTTCCTTACCTCTTTTCTTTCCTCTCTGCCTCCGTGTTTCTGCCTCCTTGTGTTTGTCACCTGCCGTAATTGATCTCACCCAGCTATAGCTGAAACAAAAGCAGAACGAAGTCGATGTTCAGAAAGCAGCTCAACAGACATTGGCCTTGATGTCTCCTCCTCTCCAGCCAGAGCGTCAGCAAGGTCTTGCTGCCAGTCCAGGTTCTGCTGACATCCGCCAACTTCTCTAGATAGATGGTGGTTTTCCAAATGTATGTGATTTTGACTCTGGGTGCAAACAGAAATGGAGACCATAACGGAAGGGGATGTATCGCAGCACTTGGGGAGAATGACTGTGTAAAACAGAGAGTGCCTGTTTGCCATATGGCAGTTGATGGGAGGCTGCAATGGGGCTGAAATTTAGAAGCGGCTGGTTAGAAACTGATTCTGCTCTACTGACAAAGAAAGTTCGCAAATTAATGTGTTAGCTGAGCAGATCCGGACCCAGCCCACCCCTCTGATCCTCTGCAAGAGCAAGCCGTCCTCCATTTCCCAGGCTGTCTCCTGCATCACCGCTAAGATGAGGCTCCTCTGAGGAGTGGGCCATGGACCTGACCCCAGGGGTGGCACAGGGATACTAACAGAGGAAGAGGGGACCCCTGACAATATGTTAGGGGCACCTGTCTGTGGAGTATGGCTGAGATTTGGGGTGACATGAGAGAACATTTCCTTTATAGCAGTGGTGGGTTGACCTTGGCTGTCCGCCAGCTGCCCACCCAGCCGCTCTTTCACTCCCCCTCCTCAGCAAGGCAGGGGAGAAGATAAGATGAAAAAAACCTCATGGGTCAAGTCAAGGACAGGGAGATTGCTCGCCAGTTACCATGATGGGCAAAACAGACTCATCTTGGGGAAGGATTAATTTAATTTATGGCCAGTTAAAAAAAGAGTAGTATAGTGAGAAATAAAAACAAAACTAAAACCACCTTCCCCCACCCCCCCCTTTTCTTCGCAGGCTCAATTTCACGTGTGACTCTTCTGCCTCTCCTTCCTCTCCGCGAGTGTCGCAGGGGGATGGGTACTGGGGGCTGTGGTCAGTTCATAGCACTTCGCCTCTGCCACTCTGTCCTGCTCACCCTCTCCCCCTGCTCCACCACAGGGTCCTTCATGAAGTGCTCCAGTATGGGTCCTTCCTAGGGGCTGCAGTTCTTCATGTTCATCTTGACATAAGAAAGACATTTTTTTACGGTGAGAACAATCATTCACTGGAACAGCCTCCCCAGGGGCATGGTAGAGCCCCCATCACTGGAGGCTTTCAAGATGTGATCGGACAGGGTGCTAAATAACCTCATCTGGGGACCCATTCCAATGAAAGGCTGGACCAGATGAGCTTTCGAGGTCCTGTCTGACCTGGGCTGTTCTATGATTTAATGATTCTAACTGCTCCAGCATGGGCCCTCTGCATGGGGTACTGACCTTCAGGAGCGGGCTGCTCCAGCATGGGTCCTCTGTGGGCCACAGCTCCTGCCAGAAAACCTGCTCCAACATGGGCTCCTGTCCCGTAGCCACAGCTCCTGCCAGAAGCCTGTTCCAGGGCAGATTTCCCCTGGGCTGCAGGTGGAGATCTGCTCCAGCATGGACCTCCCTGGGCTGCAGGGGGACAGCTCTGGCGCCTGGGGCACCTCCTGCCCCTCCTCTGCACTGACCTGGGTGTCTGCAGAGATGTTTCTCTCACATTTTCCCACACCTCTCTCTCACAGCTGCTGTGCAGTGGTTTTTACCCTTTCTCAAATATGTTACCACACACACACCAACTTAGGCTGATTGGCTCAGCTTTGGCCTGCGGGGGGTCTGTTTTGGGGCTGGCTGGACATGGGGCCAGCTCCTGCTCACATCTCATGGAAGCCACCCATGCAGCCCCTCTGCCACCAAAATCTTGCCATGCAAACCCAATACAAGGTTATGCTGAGGTAACGTGCACTGCTGCTGAATCTCAGCTGTTTCCCTTCTCTGTAGGGTGGAGGAGGGGGCTTTTGTGGTTTTCCACCCACACTTGGTCTCCTTCTTTCTGAATCCCAGCCTCAGCCAAGACGGCGGAAACCCACTGAGCCCCAGACATGGCTGAGATTTCATCTCTGTGCCACCCACTCTTCTCCTCCTGTCAGCGACTTGCCCCTTTGTCTGGAGGATGGGGGGTGCGAGACGCAACCAGGCTTTGGGGGAGCGGGGACAGACAAACACATGGAGGATCAGGGACAGGCAGACGCAGCACTGAGGTTCATAATGTGCCACCGGGCGTGAAAGGAGCAGCCCTGATCAGGCCTTGAGCACAACAGCCGGTCCCTTGGTTGTATCTTTGGAGAAAGATGAAGCCATCCCGTCGCAGGGACAGAGCCACCTGTGTGAGGCCGGAACTTTCCAGTGTGGGATGCAGGCTATGGGATGGGATGGGATGGGATGGGATGGGATGGGATGGGATGGGATGAGATGAGATGAGATGAGATGGGGTGAAGCGGGATGGGATGGGTGCCTGCTTTGCCGGTGTCCAGAGCCAGTGAAAGCTCTGTTCTGAGACACGGCTCTCCTGCAAGAGCCTGCCGTGTCACACCACTATCTTCAAAATCCTCTCACATGCCTGCAAACAGAAATGTCCCTTCTGGTCCCTAGCTGCCACAGAGGGGCTGTCCTGGGAAAAACAGAGCTGAGAAAAGTCAGGCTGGGTTTGTAAGACCCTGGTGTCTCGGGGCTCAGGGCTCTGAGGCACTGAGCTGATGCTTCAGCTCACACAGATTCTGGCTTGCATTTTGTCTCCCTAGCATGCTGTAATGCAGAAACTCTGGCTTTTTTTTAAACAGTTGGTTTATGTCACTGCAAATATCTATGAGAAATAGCATTTCCTGAAGGGGTAAAGCTTCCAAAATGCACTTGAACTTGCTGCAGAGTTCCAAGGAGAAACAGGGCTGCGGGTCTGAGGTGACAAAGCTGCAGGCCTGGCCCCTGCACAGACCCATTCTCACCCCAGGGGAGGGATGCAGGAGGGAGCCTCGTCTCTCAGAGACGCTACAGCTGTGTGGTGAACAGGTACCTCTGGGACCAGGGGTCACAGCGTGCGGTGACGTGTTTGTATCACTTTCATCCAAGCATCTCAAAGCACTTTGCAAGCATTAATTAAACATCAAGATCCAGGAGGGATGAATAATATTAGCCAGCCAGTCTCTCTTCTGAATGCAATATTTCTCATAAATATTTCACTGGTTTTTAAATTCCCTGCGAGTCTGGTTCTCACCTCGCCGGGACAGTTGCTCTACTGCACCCCTGGGGAAAGCGGGGCTTATCCAGCCTCACACGCTGGCTCTGCGGCAGAGTGAGGAGAAGAGCCTGGGCACTACACACCACTCCCCACCAGCCAGGTTTGTGGCTGTCACGTTTCCCCATTTTCTCTCCTGCAGAGACACTCCCCACCCACCCTGTGCTCTAACCCCATCACCCGCAATATTTTTGCAAACTGAGGTTGGCAAGTAGCAGATTTTTTTAGACCTCAGTGGAGAGAGGAGGCTCCCAGGCTATGCTGGGTGGAGGTCACTGTCTGCAGGGACACAAAGTCTCTCTGAGGAAGTGTGAAAAAGGGAGAAAGGGGTCTCAGAAATCAGATGTTGAGAAGGACCTTTTGCTGCCTCCAGTGGAAAGCTGAGAAACCTCCAGAGATGGTCTCCTTAAAACCAAGTTCCCCGTGTGTCAGTGAGGGCTAGGAGCATGCCTGCGAACACTGATGGGTAAAGGATACCCAGATGTATTGGAAAAAATAGTGACTGCTCAGTGGTACTGGAGAGAAGGAAGGACAAATGTCGAATGCAGCATGAAAACCGTATTTTCAGGCACCTGAATGTCAGTGGCTTCAAAGGCCAGGAGCTTTCTCTTTGCAACAGAATAGCTGGCAGCTGCTGAGCTTGTCAAGGGGCATTTCTGATACTAGGCATGGAGAGCTAGAAGCAAGCAGCCATCTGGCGAGGCGGCCTGGTGATCTGCCCCAGCACAGTTACGTACCTCGGAAAGGAGGAGGGCTCCTAGGTTGTGCTGGGGGGAGACACCTCCCTGCAGGCGCTTGGAGTCCCTGCAGAAGCTTAAATTGGGAAGAGAGGACTCTCTAAGCAGATACGATGAAGGTTCGTTTGCTGATCATGGTGGAAAACCCAGGAAATTTCCAGAGATGTTCTTCAAGAGCAAGGGGTCCCCTGTATTTTGGCAGGAGGTGTGAAGTCTGAGGGACAAAGACTAGCTGGCGAAACTGGGAAGTCGGGGACTGCTGGGAAGTCAGGGGCTGCGTGGGGCACTGGGGAGGGGGGTGGTCTAAAAATCACCAACTGCAAAAGTGTGTCACGAAAAGTGACGGAGGCTAAACTGAGCCTCAGCAAAACCGAGCAGGTGTTAAAGGTGCTTCAGAAATGCAACAGGCGGGAGACAGCTGGCTGGGGAAGCTTTTAAGGACCTGTGTGGGATGGGTATTACTATCTTGCTGCGAATGACTGTGGCAAAAGGAAGGGGGGGAAGCTGATGATGACATTTGTTACAATGCACATTTGGAGGGGTTTCATCAGCCTGGAGAGTCCGGAATATTGCAATGGAAGCAGCTTGAGGCTTGGAGCATTGGAGCGGGACACAGTTCAAGAGCACATGCTGCAAGGTTTTGCTTCCGAGTAGCAGTTGTAAGAATTTTTTACTTAGCTGGAAGCAAAGGGAGCGAAGGAGCTGGGCGCGTTGGCCAGTGCCTGGGGAGCTGAGCCACGGGTGACCGCGGGGCAGAAGGAAGGAGCGAGGGATGTACCTGGTAACGCAAGGGTGTGTGTGTGTGTGGAAATCCCCGTCGTGCGTGGACGCTAGATGGCGGAATAAACCCGGGCCGAGGCGAGGAGGCGCCTTGTGCTGGGGAGGATAGCCGGGGCTTTCGGGCTGCGGGATGCCCGGGGCCGAGCGGTGGGACCTTTTGGGGGACCCCAGGTGCCTGCGCTTCCCTGAGCATGAGGTTTGGAAAGGCTGGGGACTGCCTGGCTGGAGGGGCCCGGGTGAGCTCCTGCCAGCCCCCGAAGCTTGTTAGGGAGCCTGCTGGTGCCTCCTCCTCAGTCCAAATAGCCTGTGGTGTTTTCCATGAAAAAAGGGGGATGCTGACCTGGTGACAAGAGAGGAAGACACCCAGTGTCTGTAAAAGAAGATCATGAGAAGCCTCAATATTAATGAGAAATAACAAGTCCTTCCAAAACCTGCCCTCCTGCCATTTTTCCTAGGCACGGAGCACGCCCTATGTCCTCTTACCATAAGACCTTCTGAAACCCATCCCCTCAGGCTGGAGGGACAGACAGCTTTTGAGAGCTGGCATGAGTTGCATTGAGCCACCAGACCAGCGAGAGGGAAACCTTGGAACAGAAGCTCTTGGGCGTGATAGAGTCCATGGCTATGCAACAGCTCTCCAAGATGCTTTGGGTCCTGG